TTTCTGAGTTTTGATGATTTTTCCCAAAATTGGCCACGAGGCGCAGCAAGTTGCGGGACTAGGTGACTTGCACCATAATAAGAAAAGGGCAAAATAACAAAAAAAATCAAACGAAAGTATACTCATTACTGGCAATTAATGAAATTATAATAATAAAAACATGTGCTATTTTAAATTTTAATAAATAGCAGTTTACCCATGTTACTTCTATCAGAATTTACATATCATTCAATCTAGATTATAAAAGTAGAAACATTCTGGATAACATTATCTATTAGATGCCTTTATATATTTTTGATTCAATGTTTTCACTAAATGATGTTGGATCAAAATTTGCTAACATTCTACAATGACTTTTCCTTCTGAGACAATACTAATACGAGTATTACTACCAATGATGCTGTATATACCATTCTCAAGGAATTATTATTTATTGTATTGGATGTTACTGGCTCAGATGATACTGTACCAGAAGATAATATACTAGATAAAGTTCTACTGAGAGTACCTTTGGTAATTGCTTGCATTATGAATGTAGAGTCGATTCCTTGATAAAAAAGGTACAGTCTACTACAAACAAGCAAAAAAAAAAAAAAAAAAAAAATAAGTAAAAAAATAATAATAAAGAAAAGAAAATATAAATATAAATACTATAGGCAACAAAAATATATCTATCATTAACAAGATCGCTTGAATGTTCAACAAGATGTGGCAATGTTATATTGGCTTTGTTTTTCAGAACTACAAGTGTAGTTAATGAATTTTTAACATGACCACTTTTTGGATACTATATATATCTCCATTAGGTACTATTGTTATTATTGTAATTATAATTATTTAATTATCTTACAGAGAGCAGATGTTTGGCCAATACGTCCTTTTGCATCAGCATCACCATCCACAATCTATATGCATAATTGTGTCAGTATATAATTTTTTTATTTAAATGATAATATTTTTTCGCTACACGTTCCATTTACATAATATTTGGTGAGTCATTAATATAATAAAAAAAGCAAATAATAGGGGGAGAAAAATTGTTGTACTATATCGAAAATCTCAATCAGGCTCACCTGCGATGTATAAAATTCTATCATCATTCAATAAAATAGAAGATGCCTTGCCCGAGGATAAAGAAGAACAGCAGGATTCAGATAGTCCATGATAAAACAATAGTATACGCATCATTAAGTGTGGGACGTACATCACTACCATTAACATCAAGCTCATAGTCAAAGATTGGATTGAATGTGTTTCTACATTTCTCATTCTTTCGCTGTATAAAAAATTTAATGAATCATCATTTTCACTTATTCTGCATGCGAACCAGCAAATGTAAAGGGTGGTTTTTTTATATCTTCCCAAGATGGAAGAATGTTATCAAATGGTTTGGTCAAAGACTTCATTTATTACATAGGAAGAGCTTGATATGCCATCAATTCAACAAAAATTACGCTTTTATGAAAATAATGTAGATCAGAAGGAGCACCTTATATTTTGAGTGCGATCCAAGTTAATAATGAAGATATAATTATAATCTTTTGCAAAAGATCCATTAAGAATAATATAATAAAATTTAACTAAGGCTGCATGTGTATAAATTTAAAAAATGGAAATAACGGTTTAAAGATTATTATTATTGAGTAATTTACGAAAATGGAAATCGACTGCAAAAAAATTCAATTTCCTTGCAAGTCATTCTTGTAAATTCTTGTAAATTCTTATAGGAAAAGTCATTTCAGTTAGTGCATTTGGAATTTCTAAAAAAATTCTAGATTTCATATTACATTTAAAATCCGTTATAATGAATTTTACCCATTTAATTAGTATTACTTTCAAAATTACACGTAATATATGAAGTGTTCAATACCAATTTTGGGAGGCTATTTTTAAGACTCAGAGCGATTCGAATTCAAAAACTGGGCTCAAATCAAACCGAATTTTTAAAATTGATATTATATTTTAAAAATTTTAAGGCAAATGCAGATAAACCTCATTTCAACGAATATATGGACACACCAGAGAATTGTATTTAAACTACGTTTCAACGAAATTTATATTGAAGCCAAAATTTTAAAAGTTCATTGTAACGCGAATTTAATTTCTGAAACAAAGACGCTGAGAATACATACAAGATCACATGACATTAATAACTCCGAAATTAAAATTTTAATATATAACCTTGTTACAACAAACATTTTATCTTAATGGCTAAATTACTATTAAGGCCATCAGTTTATTTGCAATTAAAAAAATCACTGCGCAACAGGTATTTTTTACATAGTAAATTTTAATATCAAGTGTACACAACTTTGCGTGTGCATTATTGGTGGTCCAGAATTTCATTGGATCGATTTATTTATTATGTCTTAGTTAGTATGTATTTATCCGAATCATGATTCATCGGATTAATTTACAGTCAAAGCTCGTTATAGTGGACCCTTGTTTCCATATGTAATTTTTCTCTTTTTTTCCACTATAACGAAATTTTATTATGTTTTCCACTATATCGAGCGAAATTAATTAGCATTGGAAACAAAAAAGATCCACTATAACGAGATTTTATTATGTGTCCACTATAACGAGATACACTATAACGAGCTTTGACTGTATTTTTATACGTATGTACTAGTACTAGATGGTAATGTATTTATTCGAATCAGATTCATTGGATTAAATTATTTATACATTGATTCGTCAGAACAATTTATTTATATGTATTCGAATCAAAAATTAGGAGACTCAGTTCAATTTGATTTGTATTCTTATTCGGTTCGAATTTCATTGATTTGCTCTGAACCCTTGGCTATTTTTAAAAGGCTTCGGAGGAAAATAATAAATATAAAAATTTTCTGCCAATCATTTCACGATAACAAAATCACGTGATCATATTGTATCCATCCACACGAGTCCAGTTAATATTTTCAATTAATAAATTCAATGATAATAATTTAATTTCTACTTAAAATTTAACTTATTGATAAATAATGTAAATAGTGAAATACATGATTAAATTTTATACAGAATTATAAAAGGATAAAATCAATGAAATCAATAATACTTTGCATTATTTTTCCTTTTTTGCGACACCATGTAATGATGCAAATTACAACAACAATAAGAATTATTAAAACAACATTGTATTTTAATATTAATCTTTTAGCAGCTTTTAATCCCATTTTGATAGCTTTCGTTGTAATTTGACGTTTAAGTAAATGATCATTAGGCAACATTACATCAACATTTCCTCCGTTTGTTTTCAAGAGTGGATACGAAATGACTTGTTTAACGAGTAAATTATTTAAGAGAAAAAAGAGTGCGAGTGCAGGTATTTGAGTTTTAAGTTGTGCCATGAGTAATAAATTGTGCAGGATTTGAAATATTTTTGTTTGATTTCAAAATATATAAAAGTAGTCTTTAAATACTTAAAAACGCATAATTCGGAAATAATTCGGAAATAAACAATCCCTATTACTATTACTATTACTGCAAAAGTTTCTTACGAAAACACATAGAAACGTATTGAAAACATACTTAATTTTCCGCGTGTGGAATTATTTTCATGATAATAGTATCAGTATGCATTTCCGTCTAGTAATTTATTGCTAAAGATTCCTGTTATTACTTGCAGGTTATTAATATAATAAAGTTTAACAGCCAGGAATATATTAACAATTTGTTATTAAAAATAAATTGAGATATTTTTAAAAAAACCACTAGTTACACGGAATTTTTATTTTACAAATCGTCCAACCTTTTTTGTCAAGTTCATTGTTATTATTAGAATGTACAACAAACATAACGATAAAAAATTTGGACTCCTGAAACCAGGAAAGACATGAACTTCATTACATGGACGTAATTTTTTTCACATTAATATCAAGATGGATTTTCTCGATTAGCCAATAAAGGCTTTGGGCAAATCTTGGAATAATTTATCTATATAGTTTCCGGAGTCATGGCAACATATTTTTGTATAATTATCAAAGATAATTACGAAGGTATAGATAATAATACGTGAGAATGGTTTCATCAACAAGATCAAGTTGAGCATTATGAATTGGAAAACAAACGGAGAAGGTGTAAATTCAAAGCTGAAAAAGATAAATTTGTTAAACAGTATAAAATTCGTTGGATAGGACTGCTTCGCCTACTATGTTTAATCCAATCGGATGTATCATATGCATGACCTTTTTTGGGTGTTGTGAAGTTGATTCTCAAAAAAAAAAAAAAATTATGAAAATTTTCCAAACTTTACTGCGGATCAATGGAAAAAATTTATAATCTATTCAACAGTAGTGTTATAGGGATCATTTATCAATTGATGATCGTAAAATCTTAATATATTTTATAATACGTTAGTATTAGTATGTAGGGTGATTCCATTAATATTTTACAAGAAGTTTACAATCATTATATAAAAACATTTGCTAAATAAATAAAAAAAAATGAAATGGAGATTATCTACACCTTAGTCCATACGTTGAATTGAATGTGACCTTTTTTACTCTTTCTATTGTTATGTTATTCCCCTGAGAGAATGAATGGAATTTTAGGTTTGATGAGCATTTAGAATTCATTGTTATTATTCGGATTTCTTTTCCTTCACTCAAAATAGGTCTCTTACACAATACTGAGTAAAAATATGGTTGTAATTCATTACCCAACAGTCATTGAACGAATGAACGTGAAATTATGAAAGGAAATAAAAAGTATCAATATATCACATTCCAGTCAAACAACTGATTCAACAGAAAAATCTGCGGAAATTCGTAGGTTTCTGACAATGTTGAAAATTATAAGAGCATAGGTGCTGAACAATTTTCTAATGAAATTTTATCATTAAATTAAATGATGCCAAGAACTTCTTGTTTATTATTATAATACAGCGATATGATCGACAGTATATTTCAGAAAGCTTTTTCCCAAACCTTAGTAATGCAATTAATATTAGACCATTTGTGGCAGACTGAGGATCGGTTCTGAAGTTTATGGATCTGTAATGTCCAATGGACACATAAAAGTTCACATATTATCGCTAAACTCATCAATGGTGATGGAATAGCTGACAATTATCTAGAATAGGTTCAATAACATTCTGATTCTCTTCGTATTAGCACCAAACATATTATCTAGTTTTTGTAAGATGGTGTAATCCAGTATCAACAAGTAATCCTTTTACTATTTTGGCATTAATGATGAGCATACATTTGTAATGCTGAGTCGCGGAGTAAAGAATTTTATGATAAGTGTTTAATTCCTATTCATAATGTCAACGTAGTGTTTCAAATAGGAGTAAATCTAAGCAATATTTAGTTTAAATCAAATTGCAAAATTCACGTTAATTAATTACTGTGAATATTTTAATTCTAAAATCGAGTGACCCAAAATCCGACCGATTTTTAAATATTAGTATGCTAATACTATATCATACCAATCGGGTATTAGTGTCAGGAGCCCTGATTTGTTTAATCACACCAATTTGTGAGATTATACCGAAAGTTGCAGAAATATTGGAAAATCAATTTTTTTGATTTTGTTAATGTAAGAAGGAAATTAGCTAGTGCAATACAAAAAGGGTCCTCACAAAATTGCACAAAGAGCTGTTTATGTGTTTCATATGCAGTTAGGAACTAATGTGAACCTTGAGACGGTCGTCCAAATTCGACTCAAGCTAAGCAACAACGAGATCACAAAAGGTTAGCACGTATTTCAAAGGGCACCATCAACACCACAAAATGTATATCCTCACTTCAAATGACATTTAACAAATCATCAACAAGAGACTTGATATCGATTTTACAGTTAACGTTGCAGGTAAAAGTTATATATAATTTATAGTAGATTATCGTATCAAATTTAGTAAGAAATGTATATTAGAAGTCCGTGTTATGCATAAGGAATGGGGTATACAACTTGATTGAATAGGGAAATTTCGATTTCTTTACAATAAACGCTATCCTTGACATTTCCTTATAATTATTTAATATTAATAATGGTTATGTAAAGCAAATACACAAATCGTTTATTATGATAGAGAACCTTATAATAATTGCCCAGAAGACATGACAAATTCTCATCCATGTTTTGATTACAATTATCAATAAGATACTTTGTAAATGAAAATAAAAGGTATTAATGCAAAAAAGCACATCTGGTCATTAAGAGTTTCGACATGTTACACATTAATATCAGAGTTTCGACAGAATTTCGCATTTGGGGTTTTGTCAATCGTCAGAGTTTTGTCAAGGTATATACTAATTGTTCATTAGAGTTTCGACAGAGTTTTGACAGTCACTAAAAGGTTTTGGCGAGCAACCTTAACTTGGATATCTGGAAATGACATAGTTATGTTTATTCAATGCTCTCATCTTTGCCAAAACATATTTTAGAATGGATGCCTTATGAGAAATTCAAAAATCTAATATTAAAGAAATTGGATTCAGTTCAATTTATACTGTCACATGGGTAAAAGGGAACCAACTATTTATGATTATGGCGAAGATAAAAGGAATTTATTTATTATGGAACTGATAATGTAGTATTAAATGTTTAAATAATTCAAGTAATCCAGGAAATTACTTTTTTTGATTAGGTTGGTACATAGTTTTTATTTAAATAATACAATACTAATTGATTTATATTTAATTTCAAGCAATGAGCTTTAATTGTTATTTGCTATGGTGTCACTAACTTATTGGATAATGGCAATTAATTTGTGTTCTTGACAGAAGTTTAAGGATTATTTCAGGTCTTTAAATTGGTCTTCTTGGTCTTTGTGTAAAAAAAATTTTATTATTAATTTTTGGAGAGCGAATTTAATTGATAACAATAAAACCAATGATCAAACTGAATAAAGTATTTACTAGTGAATAGTTTTAGGTATGATTTGATTACTCTCAAGTCCATGATGAAATTGCTAATTGTTGTGTGTTACTATCACTACTTTTGTCATTGTTTGTTACACCCTTTGTTATTGATAGATGGAAAAAGGAAATATTTTCTAAAGATAATAAGTAAAGTTAAAAATGTCATTTGATAAATTATTATCATCAGAAAGAAGGGATTTTGTACTTGGAATTCATAGTGGAATGCACCATAATGCTTCAGCAAATTCACATGATAGAGAAAGTGAAAAAGATTGTTATTTTTCATTAGTCAAAAAAAATAAGGAGCTTTCTGAAAATGAAAAACAATATTGTAGAGAAAGGTATATTTATGAATTTGAATTAAATAATGTAAGGAATAAATGGGGCCAACCAAAAGAATGCAACAAGTGCAAATCAATAAAATATTCTGATAGATTCTGTGAAGGTTGTATTAGTTTACAATTACAGAGTCTTTTTGACACTTGGACATCTGGTAATGACAAAGTTGATAGTTTTATTCAACAATGTCAAATGCTCTCATCTTTGCCAACCCATATTTTAGAATGGATACCTTTTGATCAATTTAAAGAAGTAACAAAATTAACCGAAGGTGGATTTAGTTCAATTTATAAAGCTACATGGACAAGGGGGGATATAATTGATTATGATGAAAATAAAAAGGAATTTAGTTATTATGGAGCTTTTGATGTAGTATTAAAATGTTTAAATAATTCAAGTAATCCAACAAAAGCATTTTTTGATGAGGTAATTGATTTTATTTTATTTTTAGCAAAATAAATAATACTATATTATATAGCATTAATTGATTTATTTTCAGGCAATGAATTATCGTAAAATTAAATCAGGGATGATTATTCCTTGTTATGGTATAAGTAAATTCCCAGATAATGGAAATTATGCAATGGTTCTTAGTCATATACCAGAAGGAAATTTAAGAGATTATTTACGAAAAAATCATTCAAAATTAACATTAAAAAATAGAATTATGATCTTTAGATATTTGTGTGAATCATTATATTATATACATGAAAAAGATTTAATTCATTGTGATTTACATAGTGGAAATATATTAGTACAAAATGGTGGTTGTTATATTACAGATTTAGGATTATGTGGACCAGTTGATGATGAATCATCAAATAAAATCTATGGAATTATATCATATATTGCACCTGAACTACTTAGAGGCAAAAAGAATACAAAAAACACAAAGGAATCAGATATTTATAGCATTGGGATGTTAATGTGGGAAATATTTGCAGGACATCCACCATTTGATAATAGAAGTCATAATCATTGTTTAATTTTTGATATATGTGAAGGTTTACGACCACCAATATTACCAGGAATGCCTGATGATTATGTACAAATGATGCAGAAATGTTGGGATGTGGATCCATCAAAAAGACCAACTGCTGAAGAACTTTTTGGTTTTGCTGATAATAAATTAGAAGAAGTTTATGAAAATGAAAGTTTGAATATTAATGAAAGTTTGAATATTAATAAAAAGGATACTAGTTTACTGAAAAGAATATTCAAATTTTCTAAAATTAAAAAGCGTAAAATCAATTCTAATAATAATAATGATAACAGAAGCAGTGATGGTGGTGATGGTAATTCACAACAAATACATAAATCACATCCAGATGCATATCATACAAGTAGAATATTAGATGATGAAATTAATAAATCAATAAACTTAAAAGGTTATACAAGTAATGATAGTTCATTGAATAATCTTGATTTTAATTCTTTTCTCATAAATGCTGATTTTAATAAAGGTAAAAGAAGGTTCATTACTGATTAATTGGAAATTACTATCCATTAATTAATACTAACAGTATTTTATTCCCATTTAATCAATTAATGAACATTAGATTCTAGTTACAATAGTAAAGGAAAAGATGTTGAAAGAATAGATGAAGTTGATAAATTATCAATGGATGTTTAATTTAATCTCTACTATAAGTTTATTCATTACATTAGTCATATCTTTTTATTTTATTCTTTCATTTTAAAGCTAAATTACAATCTTTTGAAATAATAAATTTTTTTACTATTACTATTTTAATTCTTGTCCCAGAGCAGAAAATATTTCTGATCAGACATTTTTCTCTTTCCTTTATTATTATTGTTTGTGGTTGTTGACCTTTTCCTATTTCATAAGGTTGCGTATAATGAATTCAGCATTTTTGAATTCATACTTGTGGTGGAAATATCATTCGTTGTGTGATATAACATCACTCTGATAAGAATTCTTTATTAATATATCCATTAATGTTATAAAACTTGATTATAGTTCATAACATAGAATATCCGAGAACTTTATTTGGAGTATATGCTGACTCTATTATTCCACCATAGGGAAAGCACTAAATATAAACTGTGTTAAAATTATTCTCGCTCTAGTGGCACACTGGAGGATACAAAGTCCCACTCTTTAAGACACAACTACTATTCCAAACGCCTACCGACAATCTCCTCCTTTGTTTTGGGTGGGTGGTATTTAAAATTACTTGCTTTTTGCAAATAATCTTACTTCCAAATTTCTGAAATATACAATCGATGATACGTCGGGAATTAGTGAACTGCGTTACATCATTTACCGAATTATTAAAACAATAAAAATTTCTTTAAATATTTATTTATTATATTATAATGGAGACTTAAATTTTGAAATTTAAAAATCATGGTTTATCAAATAATTGAGTTATTTTTCAAAAAAATAATAAAGCTAAAACCTAATCACGTGATTCGCAAGGTTTTTGTTGAAAACAAATGAATGATATATACAAAATCAAAGTTAATATTATCAAAACTTAAATCCAACTCTCTTTGTATTCCTAATGGATTTGGAAAGGATGAACTTTGATATCGAAGAATTTTGATATAAAAAGCTAATCAAAAGAAAATTGTTACTTGTTTTAAAGGCAGAGCAAAACAATGATCAATTTATACATGATTGGAAAATTATTTCTTTAAATTCCATTTATTCATATATATACTTTAAGAGATATTATATAAGCACACTTTATGTTCTTTGTACTTTAATAACAAAAGATTACTTGTTAGCATAAACAAGCAGACTACTCCAAAAAATAGCTCGTTTTGGGGCAGAAATGGTTATAAATTTGCTTGTTTTGTAAAAAATATAAATAAAATGATATCATTGAATAACACATTCAATTCATTGTTTGTTTATTTTATTAGCCCAATTATAATGTTATATAGGATATATAGGAGGAATATTTCAAAACCTTAAAAGAATCATTTCTAAAAATCGACATATCCGAAATTCCACAATCTGGATTTGGATTGTAACAACCTCCAAATGGTTATTGGTTATCATAAATTTTTTCCTTCCAACCTAGTTAGGTATTATCATAGACTAGCGCCTGCCTACCTTCACATTCATTCATTATTACAAATATCTCTCTTGCTTGACCAGCAATGAAATTTATAAATAGCAAAAGTTCTGTATGACGACTGTAAATTATATTATTTCTATTTTAATTTTATTATTTCGAAACCTTCCGCTGGTTACGTTCCACACCCACTCATTGAATGACTTTTTTTACTTAACAGCTTCGGACAATCTTTTAATTTGTGGCCAAGCCGTTGGTTTTATATCCAGCGACAATTTCATTTAAATAAATTTAGATTTTTCAGGCTTTGGTGTTAACTTTATTTAGATTAATTAATTATTTTAGATTCTTGGAATTTTTTTGAATTCTACCCTCGATGTTATCACTATGGCATATATTTGGGTTAATTAATGACAACAATAACAATAACAATAATAATAATAATGGTAATAATAATAAAATATTGTCAATATTTTCATCAGGACAATTTAATATTTAATAATTGTTGTTTAGCTAGCACGGACAACATATTTAATATCAAGAATTTGATTTGTTCCGGATAATTTATTATGTCGTGTGTATGAATTGGTTACGTAAAGATTGGATGTGCAAATGCATGATATTATGAATATTTAATATAAGCTAGGTAAATAAATATACCACAAATATTAAATATTAAAGATTTGTATCATTCATTAATGTATGTTTTTGTAAATGAGATTTTTAGTTATTTGTTTTTGTGTAAATTATATTAAACATTTTAATGTTTACGGCATTCAATTAACTCTATTGATTTGTATACTCTTTTACAATGATGAAGCTTTGCTTTTGAAACAAAAATAAATGAAAAAAATAAATGCTTGCAGCGAGAATTAAATTAAATATTTCTAGCGTTTGATATTAATTACTTGGCACAGTCAGTGTTCGAAATTCGACTGCGCCTTTACATAAACTAATCTAATTTTAGAAATTATTTGCGGTTAATTTTCATATTTGGTTAGTGCGCGCCTATTCCGCCGATTGAATTTCGAACAGTGGGCACAGTAGCTATTTATGCGTACAGATCACGTGTGATTTTTTAATTCCCCATTAAATTTTTATTCTGATGTTCTACTGTTGTGATCAATTAAAAAAATTATGTTTGTTTAATCAGTCACAAAACTAATAGAGACTAATGCACAAACTAAGCTTAATCGATCACTGATTAACCGCCAAAATTTTTTTTTAAAGTTCACTCATCCCTTTTTTCTACAACAACTAGAATAAAACGAGAATAAATACTTCTAATTTTGGGGGGTTTCCATTAAATCATCTTCTATGAATACTGCTTTACATCTTTAAGTTTAGTTTGAATAACAAAATGTCTCATTAACAATATCACCTTGCTAATAATATTTCATTATATGCAATGCCTTACATTAGGAAATATTTTATTTCCTTATTGAATATTCGCTAAATTTGTTATATAAATATAGCGATTCCACTGGTTATCATTTAATTTTGATATGATTTTTCGTAACAACTTGTATAATAAATAAATAATTATTAATTATTATTATTAATAATAATAGTAATTAATAATGATGATGATAAAATAATAAATAGGCTCTGGAATCTTTTTTTTTTCTTTATATTTTAAAAATATTTATGTTTGCCTTACTGGGAATTGATTGATAGAAGTTTTTAAGGATATTTGTTTTTTTTTTTTTGAGAAAAAACAATTCTTTTTAATAAATAAATCACCACATGCATTCTTTTTCACAACAATTTGTTTATTTCTTTCTATATACTTAATATTTATTATTATTATTAATCTCCATATATATTCACAATCGCACTCACACTCACACATACGCAACACAGATTCACCATCATTTGAATTGAATTGGTTCTTACACATTTGAAGTATCAATTAATTATCTATATTTATTATATTACATGTTTTACGGTTTTTTTACTTTCTAGATTGTTTCCATACACAATAATAAATAAAACACATAAATTTCAAAGACTACACCCACCGTCATTATACCCTAACCACCATCACCTCCTAAATAAAAAAAATAAAAAACAAACAATAATAATAATATTCCGTCGACTTTATCTATCATTATCTTATCACTATATTGGTTTACAAAAATGACACTAATCCAAAAAAAGGTGATTGACAATGACTATGTTAATAACTTTAATGATTCTAACAATTTTAATGATAATGGCGATGGCGATGATGATGATATTATTGAGGAAATAAACACGGGGAAAAAAACACTAAAGAAACTTGGATCGTTTATTAGTAAAAAAATAGTAAGCAATTGATTTTTTATAACGTGCTGTTGTATTTGCATCTTTAGGGCGCATGTTCGTATATCACGAAACATGTAGCATATTTTTATATATATCGCATATGCAATGAAAAAAAATATGTGCACACCGTCATTTTTATACACCAATATCTGTCGCACTTTTTTTAAATTGAAAAAAAACAAATAATTTTTCAATCATCACATATATCACACAACAATAACAAACATGACCATTATATAATTTATATATATAAATTCATTACAAAAATTTTGATTTAAAACCCGTAAATTATCTCTTTTTTTCTCTTTGTAGCTTCTTTTCTTAAAAATTTTTTTGCCTTAGGTATTTTATTTTTGCAAAATATACATAAATATAAATTTAATACTTGCTAATAAATCTTTTTTTTTTTAAAAAAATCCATATTTTAAAACATCATATTTAAAAGCTAAGCAAATCAACTTTATCAACGGTCATGCGCTTTTGGAAAAAAAAAAAAAAAAGTCAGCACAAATGTCAATCTAATAATATTGATGAAATTATCAGCAACGAAAAAGATAACGTCATGACTGATAACAATAATAATTATTATAATAACGGTAACGAGGATAGTGATATTTGTATGAACAACAACAGCAACAACAATGGAATCAACAATTATTTATCATTCATAAATCAAGAAAAACCACAATTCGATCTTCAAAAATATAAAGAACACGATGATCATGAGAATAAAAAGAAAAAAAAACATTTGTCCATAACATCCTCGTGCAATTCTTATAATTATTACACCTCGCTCAAATCTTTCAACCTATCGATTAATTCATCAAGCACAAGTTTAACTTCTATCGCAACTCTCACCAGCATAAAACCATTGTCGTATTCAACTTTTTCGTCTTTAACTTTTGATGATTTGCCAGTTGAGATCATAATAAAGATTTTCGATTTCCTCATCGAACCGACTGATTGTCTAAGAGTTTGGAGAGACAATTATTACAGCGAAAACAACAATTATGATAACGACATATCACCGAATCACTTTAATAATGAAATTCTTTTCTCACGTGACCAGTGGTTTGCGGCTGAAAATCAACGAAGAACTTTGAGGCTGACGTGTAAAACTTGGAATTCAATTTTGCTAGGGTTACTAACTCAAATGGAAATCGATCTTTACAGGACAAAGGTAAAAATATTACGTCTCGCATTCTATTTATTTTTTTTGCGAAAATATTATTAATTTTATTTGCTGTTGCTATTTTTAATTATTCATCTAATATAGAAATACGAATTAGAAAATTGTGTTTTACGCCCAAAGAATCTTCAAAAACTTTCAATCTATGATACAGGTTTCTCAAATAACAATCCAATCTTAGGTACTGGAATTGATCAATGGCTAAGTCAAAATGTTTCACAATTGCAAAGCTTATCACTGAAAGATTGTCACGATTTAACGATCAACGGGTATGCATATAAATGTAAATCGCTATTGGATATTATTTGTCACTATTATTATACGTTGTTCATGCATAACTAATAATATTTATATATATATTTTTTTTTTTCAAAACTTTTAAATAGATTATTGAACCTTCCAAGCATATTAACTGAATTGAAGATAATCAATTGTTCACAAAGTAAGTATCACCAATAATAATAATGATTTCCTTGTTCGACATCTCTCATCTCAATTCTTTCTCAATTATTATTCGCACCTTTTTTTCTTCTCAAAAATCTTTTTTTTAGTTATTCCTGAATTGATAATTGTGCTAAAAGGCTTGTCAAATTTAAATCATTTGACATTAAACACAAATCGATTCTTTGTTGATCCATCATTCTCCAAAGATATCGAAAAAACTTTACCAAACCTTACATCATTACATATTATCATACCTTGTAGCATCAAATTCGGCACCGACCACAGTTATGACATTGACAACATAACAAGAGTAATATCGGATGACATGATTATAATCAAACAATGCATTCCACCAAACAGTTTTCCAAATCACATTAAAGAATTGATTTTGTCACAGGACCTTCCGCAAAAGAAGCATCGCATATTAACAAAAAACGATTATGAACAAATGGGTCCGGATGATGGGTCACCGTTAAAAGTCAAGCATGTCTTGGTGTTGAATGATCCAAATGCTTATCCCAGTTCATTAAAACGTTTAGATGTCTCTAAATGTTTCTTTGACAACAACTTATTTGCTTTGCCATCGGACCGGTTAACATCTTTGTCACCATTGACGCATTTGACCGCGAGTTATCCTTCTTTACCACGAGATTATGACACTATCAGTTTACCATCAACACTCGAATATCTTAATGTAACGGGTTTCGTTTATCATGCTGCCTACGAAAGTGACTCGCACTACACATATCACGCATACGGTAGAAAATGGATTGATTTACTTCCGAAAAATGCTCCGTCACTACACACTCTGATATTACACTTGTACACATATGATCCAGAAAATCTTTATTCGATTATCAAGTCCCGATATTCGAAATCTTTACGTAAATTGGATATTAGCATTTGCTATTCCGGAATTACCGGTTTCGAGAATGATAATTGTTTATGCGAGAAAAAATGTTTTCAGGCGCAATGTTATCGACGACAAATGATCAGGTCGCTTTCAAACTTAAATGAACTGCGGTTACACAATACAATAGATGATGGTGATTTGGACCAGTTACCTGATTCATTAAAATATTTGTATTTGTATTCAGGCTACAAACAAGATTTGACAAATGAGACTTTGATGAATTCAAAACTAAAAAAGAAATTGACAACAACAACAACAACATTTCCTAATAATAATATGCAAATACTTGAGATGAATTCAGGAAGATTTGGATGTTTGGAAACAATTGTTGATTATAATAATGTTAATAATAATTATTATAATGATTATAATAAATGTTGTTGTTTAATGTTTAAATTTGGTAAAGGTATTAATGACTATGATTATTATTTAATGTAAATTTTTTAATTGGGAGGGATGTAAATTATATATTTTTTTTTTGAGCGGGTTGTAAAAAATTTCTCAAATAATTAATTAATTGTTTATATATATATTTTTTTTTTTTTTGTAAAATTTTTTTTTGTATTTTTTTTTACTTTTTTGCTTATAATGTTTTTGTTGATCAAAAAGAAAAAAACAAAAAAACGAACATTTTTTTATTTTTTTTTTTTCCAAAAAAAATAATCTATAAAAAATAAAAGATATCTGATTATTAATTTTTTTTTGCAAATTTTTCTTGTCATATGAAAATTATAAATAAGAATCACATTCAAAATGGGCCGATTTATATATAAATGTTTCAATGAATGAATTTTGAATTGTATAAATACAGTAAAAATTTTTTCATTCAATTTATAATTAATCAGTCAAAACCAAAAATGCCAAATTCATCTAAAAGTCTATCATCATCATCAACAGCAACAATAAAAATCCCAACCAACCTAAAACCATCAGATCCACAAGGTTCTGAATTATTAGAACAGGAAAGATCACGAGCAACATTCAATGTACAAGACTTGACATTGGTAATATATGGTCGTAGGGATTTGGAGAGATTTGACAGAATTTTGAAAATACTAGAGAATGATCCGAACCTTGATAAAAGCAATATTTATTTTCTGGGTCGGACTGAATTATTTGAGCGTTCTTTACGAACAGAAAAAAAACTCGTGAAATTATCAAAGTAAGTTGTGTTATTTGAATGATCGAATTAATAAAATTTATTGATTTTAATTCATTCGTTGATTTGGTTTGATCCATCTAAAATAAAAATTAAATCTTCATTATTATTATTGATTAGAAAGAATAAATGGAGCCCTGAAGAAAATCAAATTGCCATATTTCTTATTGATTTAGCTGGCCCGGTAACTATTTCTTTCATTCCCTTCTCACATTTCTTTTCTTCCTTTCCTCCCAAAAAAAAAATTAAACATCACTTATTTTTTTTATTTATATATATAAATAATCAGTTTGGAGTTCATCGATCAATGTTTATACCAACACTAATAGGTCAAGGAAATGAAGAACAAAAAAAAAAATTTTTACATCAAGCCCTAGACTATAAAATAATTGGATGTTATGCACAAACCGAATTGGGTCATGGTTCAAATGTTCAAGGTTTGGAAACCACGGCTACTTATATACCAGAGACCGATGAATTTGAAATCCATTCACCATATTTGACTGCTTCCAAGTGGTGGGTTGGTGGTTTGGGAAGAGCTGCGTATGTATATAATATACATTAGTACCTGTAGTAGTAGCATTGACTCTTTATTAGTTTTTTAAAAAAAAAGGAGTAATAGCAATATATTATTTGTTTATTATTATCATATGTTACTAGAAATCATGCAATAGTAATGGCAATATTAATAACGAATGGAAAGTCATTTGGTCCACATCCTTTTGTTGTTCAGATACGTGATCTGGAAACACACCAACCTTTACCCGGTATAACTATTGGTGATATAGGACCAAAATTTGGGTAATTATTTTAAAGGGGGGATAAATTATCAATTATTCCTTTTTTAACGTCACATAAATTACATTCCACGACCAACCCACACCCAATACACACCCACATATATAGTTATAATTCAATGGATAATGGATTTATGTTATTTGATAAAGTGAGAATTCCCAGATTCAATATGCTATCAAAATATTCTTGGGTAGAGAAAGGCACTGGTGTGTACAAGAGTCCACCAAACAACAAGTTATCATATGGTACAATGGTACTTGTACGTTCAGTAATCGTCACTGGTGTTTATTTGGCTATGGCACGTGCAGCCACCATTGCAGTTAGGTATTCGGCTATCAGAAGACAATTTGTTGATAAAGATAATCCAAAAAGATTAAAAGATGGGTTAGTGATAATGGAAGACATGATATGAGGAGGATGTGGAAATTTACCCAATTTTATATTTTTACACTAACCCTATTATTATTATTATTGATGTTAATTTCTAGTCGCATAGTAGAAACCTCAGTGTTAGATTACACGATGCAACAATATCGTTTGTTTCCAGTTGTAGCGCAAGCGTTTGCTTGCTATTTTACAGCAAAAGCGCTTCTGAATTTGCATCATAAATACACGGCACAAAGCTCAGATGGTGATTTTTCGTTATTGGCAGATTTGCATGCGTCAAGCTCCGGACTGAAATCATTGACATCAACGATGGCGGTTGATGCTATCGAGGATTGCAGACGAGCATGTGGTGGACACGGATATTCTAGTTTTAGCGGTTTCTCTAAATTCTATCAGGATTATTTACCAAATACTACTTGGGAAGGTGATAATTATATTCTAACGCAACAAACTGCTCGTTACGTAAGTAAATATCTTTAATGATAATGTATAGAAGGGAAATTTTTAATTTTATAACAAATATATTTTTTCCTCTTAAACAACTTGAAACAAATAGTTATTGAAATCATATAGAGATTTAGTGAATGGAAAAGTTATTAATGGTTATGGCAATCCTTCCGAATATTTATTAGACTATTTGAATAATCCAACTGATAAATGTCAAGCAACCGAATCGAATCATTTTCTTGATCACGCAACACAACTAAAAATATTCGGGCACAGGGCAGCTCACCTAATCTCAAAGACAATCGATAAATTAGATAATCGTAACGCGTCGTGGAATTCATCATTGGTGGAAATTAGTAAAATATCAAAAGCGCATTGTCAATACTTGCTGGTACGTAATTTCACCGGGGCGTTAGGCGATGGTAGTAGATTAGGTGATGAGGAACAAAGAATTTTGTCAGCCAGTCCAAATTTAAAAAATGTTTTGGCATCATTGTGTAATTTATTCTCGTTGCACACGATAATTGAAAAAGAGTCGGGTGAATTTTTGGAGTCAGGGTATTTGTCGATTAGACAAGTGGAGTTGATAAGAGAGGAGATTTATAATTTGTTGAGAGAAATCAGGCCAAATATTGTTGGATTGGTTGATTCATTCCATTTATCAGATTACCTTTTAAATAGTGCTTTGGGAAGATATGATGGTAAGGTTTATGAGACAATGATTAATTGGGCAGTCAAGGAACCACTTAATAATATAACATTTGATATTGATCCAAATAGTACAAATTCATTTAAAGGAATTAAATCCAAAATTTAAATTAAAATTTAATTAATTAATTAATTGTTATTTTGTAAAAGTATTTGTTGATTAAATGTAAAAAACTAATAAGTATTTAATTTTTAAATTAAGAATATTTCACAGATCATCATCATCTTTATCTGCCATTTGACACATCTAATAAAATAAAAATAAAGCATTAGTCATTTTTCAATTATTTTTTTCTGATAAACTTTTTAATTAATTAACGCATACTTTTCTATATTTCTGATATGGAAATGAAGGAGCAATATCAATATCACTTTCAGGAAAAATCCATTCTAAAAATCTCCATAGTAAAAAGTCGATTGCAACTAGCACACAAAATATTTTTCCTGCCCAAACCCCGCATCCATAATATCTAAAATGTATATATTAAAAAAAAGTTTTTTTTTTTTTTTTTTTTTTGGTAAATATAATAATATATTTTGAATTTGAGAAGTTTTAGAAATCATCGAACCTTCTTAATCTTTCCATCAATGGTGGAATTCTCATTTTCCAAATTGAATCATAAACCTTTTATTTCATTATTGTTTATGATTAATTTATTTATGCTAATATTTATTTATTTAAAAAAACAACCCCAATTGATCACATTTTTTTGTTCATACCTTTTCAGTTCTTTCAGCAATGTTTACCCAACTATACATTTCTTTTATTTCATCATGAAATTTTATTGGATTGACTTCTTTGAGTCTAATCATTTCTATAGCTTTTATTACAACATTTACTAGATCTTTAAAAAAAAATAATTAAAAATTTTTTTTTAGTAATAAATTGATGAAATAATGAAATAATGAAATGGGGATTTATTTCACCTTCTTCTTCAGGTTTAGCGAAAATAATCATATTCCTTGGTAATACTTCGGGAACACCTCCAACTTTTGTACTTACAACAAGTAAACTATATATATAAATTATAAATCAATCAATCAATCTATCAATTAATAAAAAATTAGTGAGTATATTATTTTTATATATTGTCATTAACATACACACCCACAACAAGCTGCCTCTACAATACCAATACAAAATGCTTCTGTTAAACTAGTATTCAAAAATATTTGACCTTTAGTCAAAACCTAGATAGAACCGATAAATGAATTAATTATTATTATTATTATCATCATATCTTTTCTTTTTTCCCCCCTAGCTCAATCACTCGCTCTCATTCATTTATTCATCTATCCATTATAACTTACATTCCTAACTTCATGATGCTTCACTGCACCAAGTAATTCTACACGATCATGAAGTAAATATTTTTCTCTCATTTGTTCTAAATCTACTCGTTTTGGTCCATCTCCACCTTTTTTATTTTTAAATTTAATAATAATAATTTTTGAAATTAGATAAACGCTCTCGCATGTTCATGTAGTCCCATCCACACGTATATATTCAATATATATATATATATATATAATATATATTACTTGCCAATTATAAATCGAACTTTTGGATGTTTTTGACAAATTCTTGGAATCACGGCTACAAGTAAATCCATTCCTTTCCTATAAACCAATCTACTAGCAACCACAATTGTAACTAGATCCGATAATAAGAGTCATGTGATAATTATAATGAATATATAATTATAAAATATCCAACGATTACACTAACATTAAAGTGATCGAATCTAAAAAGTTAAACTACTTGCTAAAATTTGGATCTTGTGCGCCAGGATCAGGCTTAAATTGTGAAGCAAGTACAGCATTAGGTATTACTGAAACCATTTGAGGATTTAATGCTGCACGAAGAACTGTATTTTCTTTACTATTGTTATTAAAAAAATTTTTTTTTAAGAAACCAATTAATTTCTTTTCTGACACACATATATATATTTTCCAAATTCTATAAGATTGTTGCTTTACCTTGTATGGCTAACGCAAATAACATGATCAATGTCGCTTAATGAAAATTTTAACAATTTATTCATTAAAATGCTACTAGAATCAGCAAATCCAAATAAACTATGATCTGTAAAACAAGCCTTCATTCCCATTGTACGAGCGTGCAATATCGCTTCGTTGCAAAGAGAAGAGAAGGCTTGATGGCCATGAACGATGTCTATTTTTTCTCGAAGCACGATATTACGAAATATTGGAAAAAATCCATATATTGTTGGTAGGGTAGCCTCCGAGTATATCACCACGTGTGGTACGTAATACACCTTTAAACCATTCGTCAAATAACGAATTCCCGTTCTATTGCCATATGAATGTGTTATTATTATAACCTAATTGAAAGAACAAGAACAACAACAACATTATTACTATTATCATTACCAAAAGAATAAATAAATTTAAAAGGTAATCGTAATAAATATAAACACCTTGTGACCACGTTGAATCAGCCTTTGTGATAATTGGTATAGATGACTTTCAACGCCTCCCATATTTGGATAAAAAAAATCGGAAACCATCCTTGATAAAAACCAAATAATGTGATTGGTGTGAGAAGAAATCTTTTGTCAATTCATCAATTATCAAGGTTTAAAACTTACGCAATGTTATAAAGCATCTTTGAATATGAATTTGTTGATCAAAAAAAAATTTCAAATTGCACTTGTAAATCAGATGATTATTTTCACTCCGGATCATTTCATTGGTTGAATTGATAAACAATGAAATCTTAATGAATTAATAATGTTTGATCAATGAAATTACCTATTGTCAAATGCAATCCTCATCAAAATTTTAGGATAATATTAAACCATTTTAGATAAATTGTGATTGTGTTTAAATTGAAATTGTCTTTTAGAATGGTATATTTAAGCTTTTTTATACTAATCCTATTTATAAGTATTTTATTTTTATCAATTATTTTATTTATAAATGAAAAATCTACATCCGAAAACAAAAAATTCATAGAAAGAAAAAAAATTTATTTCTCCTTCCATTTGAAATTTTTTAAAATGTTCTTTTAAATTATATTTTTTAATTATATATATACATTATTTAATAATAATAATAATAATAGTAATAATAATAATAATAACAATTATAATAATAATAATTATTATAATATAATAATTATATATATAATAACAACAAAATTAAAACTTAGAAAATAAAAATTAATATTTAATAACTTTGAATAAAATGGAAGTACCTTATAAGCAATTCTTTTTATCATATGCTTATGGACTCTCTTCTATGGTAAATAGCAATTCTTTATTTTGCATTACATTATCATATTACATTGTATTAACATTCTAATGCCAACGCTAATTCTAATTCTATCTCTAACTCTACGACTTTACTACAATTATGATATAGACTTATTTTCATAATTTTTTTGTTTCAGTATTTTTGTATAGATCTGGAATCGCAAATGTAACAAATATTTTGAAAATAATTTTTAACTTAAGTGGAGTCACCTGGTCAGCGATACGTTATAATCTCTTGATGGCCGTCTCGATATATCATTGTAGAGTTTTAATTTACCTAGAAGTATTCACTAATTTTTTATACAGAGAAACATTAGCCGCTTTCTTATTATGGAGATTAAAACAAATTGAATATTCCGCTTGGGATCGGTGGATAAGTTTTGCTTTGTTTACTTTTAGAACTGTATTAAATGTAAGTCGCATCATTTCTATCGTGTTTCATTTCAATTGAGCTATATAGTTTTTAAATCTCAGTTTTAATTTATTTAATCTCAATTGTTAATCCTTTTTCTGTTCTCTCTTCAACTTTTAACTCGAAATTTTTTTTAGTTGATTGTAATCAATTATTATCAGCCGATCCTTGATAGTGACGAGTATTTGCAGGAATGTAAATCTGACTCAGAGATCGCGAGATATATTCAACTAGGCTATATTTCTATTGATGTTTTAATAGATTTTTTCGTGACAGTCCGTTTAGTACAAATATTAAATGAGGGAAATCGTAATTCTGCCCAGGCCAACTCAATAATCGGTAGACGCAATCCAAAACGCACATTGTTCACCGCAGTGTTGTATTGGAATTTCATGAGGATGACGGTCGATTTCATATATAATGTCATGGCAATATTAAATATATATATCGATAATGATAAATTTTATTTCGAAGTATTAAACGGAATTCAATGTTTCGCCACTATAGCTCAGTCATATTTGATTACAGTTGACGCTGAGATCGTTAAAGTGATCGAAGGAAATCAAAATAGAACTATTATAAGTCGTAATAATAATAATGATCATAATTACAGAAGAGATAATTATACTTATAATAGTAGAAACAATAACATCAATAATTCTAATGATAGTGGAGTTGCATTTGATAGAAACAATTTGTCTATAGTATCATTCAGAAAATTTATCATGTCAACACCTTCAACTTCAAGAGAAATGGAAGAAGGTGAAAGAGATGTGCAGGAAACAACTCATTATCGCCATTATTCATTATATGATCAAAAAAAAATCACCGATTATCCAATTGCCACTTCTCCAATTTCTATGAATGATACTGATAATTATTTTACTAGTAATAGTAATAATAATAATAATAATAATAATAATAATAATAATAATAGTAGTACTAATAGCAACAGCAATAGTAAAAATAAAAGTAAAAGTTATAGTAATGATAGTAACAGTAATGATATCAATAGTAGGAATATTTGTAATAGTAGAAATAGTAATGATAATAGCAACTCGTCAAAGTCAATAAAATCAAGAAAGTCTTTAAAATCCATAAAACCTTCTTCCTTCACTTCTATTTCCACTTCTAATTCGTCATCACAAACTTCAGGATCAAAATCTCAAAAACATAAATCTTGGAGAAGAGATTCATTAAATAGACAACAAAAAACTGCTTCTTTTAGACTTAATAAAAACAAATTTGTTGTTGTATCAATGCAGAGGTTGACATTCTTTGAATGGGCAAATTTAATAATTTCTGGTGAAGATGAAGATGAATTCGTCAACAACAACAACAGCAGCAGCAGCAACAACAACAACGATAATAGTTATGATAATGATAATGATAATGATAATGATAAATATTTTTATGAAAATGGTAATAAATATTATTTGCCACCTTTACCTGCCACACCAATCCAATATCAAACCAATATTAATAATAATAATCAACTTTCACCTAAAGATGATAAAAAAGAAAACATCAGATCATCGGATGAAGTTTTAGGTTTACTAGATAATTGTGATCCACCTGCAATGGTTCATATAAGTCAATCTAGACGTGGTAGTTCCACCTCTACCATAATGTCACATTCAACTTCACAAACAAAGATTAATGATCAATTTTCAACCGATGTTAATCACAAAAAACCTTTTATATGATGTGAATTAATTTAATTTAATGGCAGTAATAAATATGTATGTAAATATATATATATATATATTTATAATTTATTCTTTATTTTGTAAATTTTAATTTTTAATTTTAAATACATTGTATTTAATAATCATTTATAATAATTAAAAATCTTAAATATGTATTTGATCGAAATTTATGTGATACTATTGCTATTAACAATTTCAAAAATGTCTTATTAATAATTAATTAATATCACCAGACGGAAAATTGTAAATTCATGCAATTATGCTTTATTATTTATTTATCATCATCATCAATTATTCAATTGATTCTGTATTTTTTGGATAAAGAAGGTATGTTGAAGGAAGTGGTCGAATCAAATATTTAACCTTTATAGAAAAAATATTTAATCACACAACAATATTTTCCTATCAATGGGTTTCACTTACTGATTGACTGGACAAGATAAACTCTTGCACTTTCCTTTGGCATTGTTTTTAATAAATCATTGAGAATCCTCATTGTATTTATATAATCGTTGCCTTCTTTTTTCTTGTTGTTTTATTACACCATCAAATTTGTGCTTTAGGGTAGAGGATGGAGTCGTCAATTCAATCTTGGTGGAATAAATAGGGAGGGAATCAGTGACTAAGAAAATCCAGTGCTTAAAAACATTCACAATTGATATTTACCATCCAATATCCAATATGTCAGTAAGCATTCTAAATAGTCTTGAAATGATGTAAGCAACAGTGTTAATGAAATAGGTCCTTTCAAGGTTACCATAATTTGATTTGTTTGAAACTGCAAAAGGTTGGTTCACATGCGTGAAAACGCTTACAAATGCGTCATAATTGTTGTGCTATATCATAATCCTCATTGTAGTAAGGAGATCAAATCTGCCATCAATCAACAAAAAATTTCCTTGCCAAGGTTGGAATCCAACCCCTATTGCAATTTTTTCTCATTAAATCGATCAATATATTCATTTAAATTCTTTTGTTCGGTGATCTCACATTCTTACTTTCTTAGCACATTATTTAACCAATTTAATTCTTCTTTATCCAATTTTGGTTGAATACAAGTCACTCCCGTTGTAATGACATTCGTTATAATGGCAATCTTGTTTATAATGGCAATCTTGTTATAATGGCAATCTTGTTATAATGACATTTTTTTAAAAACCAAATTTATAAATACAAATTTATGCCCGTTATAAT